TTATTTGTTTTTAAATATGTTTTTATTAGTCATTTGGTGTTAAATAAGAACTATTAATAACAGTTATATTTATCGAATTTGTTATTTAACATCCGTTACTTACTTTAGTGCTATTTAACATCCGTTACTCACTTTAGTGCTATTTGTCATCCACTATCTGTTAATCGTAACCCGTTATCGTTATTCGTTATTCGTTATACGTTATTCATTATTTATTATCAGTTGAATTTTAAATGCTGTATCAAACATATCCTTAATCTTAATTATATATAAGATTGTTATAATAACAAATTTTCTCTTAAAGTACTTAAATAAATGCCAATTAAACTTAAAAAAATCCTCAATAAATACACAATAAGCTTTAAAAAATCTTTAATAAATAATCTTAAGTTTTAAAAAAATTCTATACATATTAAAAGTAACACAAATCCAACATTAATAGAATTTAATTTCTCATTAATTTTATTCTCACTCTCTTGTTATAGGGGTTGATATAATATTTTTTTAATATATTTCTAATTATATAATAATAGGGCTACAATTATATAGATAAACAGAGAAAAGGAAAAAGTAAGCGAGAAGAGCTGCCGCCCGCCAGACACATAATTCCATTGTTAACTTTTGTTTCTTTTTTTAATGGTAATATTATAGTGTTAGTCCCTGATTTTTAAAAATTTAACACTTCGGTCCTTAAATTCCAGAATTTTATGATTTGGTCAATTTTAGAATTCTACATTTTGGTCCTTAATTTCATCTGTTTGTTCATTCTTTTACTTTGTGAAACATAATTATTTAGTTCCAAGTTTATGATTTTTAAAAGTTAAGTCCTATTCTACACAAATAATAAAAATAATGGAAAATTGAGTAAAATCATATTAAATCCATTCAAATAATAATAAAATCAAGGTTTAATTAGCGTCATATTATGAACAATTATTCAACTTATCAAGTACTATAAGAAAAGTTGGTAAATTTTGTATTGAAGTTTTGTTAAGATTTTTATTAAACTATTAATATTGCATTTCTCCTATTAGAAAAAGAAAAAATATATAGAAAAAGAGAATCAAAAGTAGGATTATGATGTTAATAGTTGAAAATAACTTTTGAAGAAGTACAAGAGGTACTTTGACCCTTGAGGCATAAAGGTAAGTGAAAGGAAGTTGTAGCCATTGTCTTAACCTAAAACATTTCTAATATAGACAATGAGAGAGAAGGAAATTAGAGCAAAAAAAGATATATAATGATAACCGGAGATACAAAGAGTGACTTAGAAAGAATAATATAATTGTCAACAACTTAAATGACTTAATAATAATCTTTTTTCATTAGAAGTAAAAGGTTTTAAATTTGAGTCGCATAGTAAGAGGAAAGGGTGGGTTAAGGGAGCGGAAAAAGTTGCTTTCCATTGTGCTATCTAAGATTAAAAAAAAAAAAAAGAATATAGAAGAAAAGATTTGGTGATAAAAAAATTATAGCGAAACATAAGGTGGGTTAAAGCAGCAATAAATTATTAATATGGAGAGAGAAAATTAAAGCCAATATAAGATAAAAATGTATGTAATGATAAAATATGAAGATTATGGTAAGAAATGAAGCCCAAGAAGTGTAATAAAAGGTGAT